TTGGTGCAGTTTGAAATTTCTGAAACAATAAGAATTTTCAGAATGTTATTTTTGGATTTTGGTTATGCCTTTTGCCTTTTGTTATGTTTAAGCGTGTTGATGAGTAAGCACTTTGTTTAAAGGCTTCATGTTTCTTGCAAGCTTGCTTCTTTAGACCTACTTTTTAAGCTAAGTAACATTATGTGTCGTAATCAAGAATCAGTTCTTTTCATTTTGTTTGTACTCAATTTCACAATTTACAATTCTTGGATATTCCTATATTTGTGTCTCTTTGGTTATGTGTGTGCCCGTTGGTTACTTGTATATATTGAACAATTGAATATGATATGAAATACAAAACTAGTGTAATGACTAATAACCTCTTATATGCTAAACATAAGTCAAGATTTGAATTTTTCATTAAAATTCTCCATTAATTATAAGGTTACACAAAGTTCATTCCATCCAAATAATTCAGACGATAATATATGTAATTTATTTAAACACTACAGTATGATGACTTGAAAATCAGCCTTTTAGGATCAAATTATAGATTTTAGAAAGTATGACATTACCTCTAATTTTTACTGTTTGGTAAGTAGAGGTATTTTGAATTAAAAGAATTAATTTCTAAAATTGAGCTTTTGAAATATAGAATTGTTATGTTGGTTATTCTTACACATCAAACAATTAGTTATGTGCCAAACACTTTTCGAGTCATAAATCAAATCAATTAACTAAACTTATCAATTAATCTAAGCTGTTATTTCACTCAACACCAGATTCAATCAAACTAAGTGAACAAGCACAAGGTAATATGCATTATTATGTTGGATGTAAACATTAACATATTTAACTAAAATTGTTTCAATCCATATACAAAGCCAATCTATCTCTATACAACGACATATCAAGAAGGAAAAAAAAATCTCATTCCTCTTATTCTCCTCCCCCAAATAGCCACCACTCTACAAATTATACTCATTTTGCTTCACCTTCAAGCCCCAAAACCAACCTTAAANACACGGAGATCTGCCACTTCAGCCACCCTCACCACTTCCTCGTTTTCGAGCACTCGGAGGAACCGTTCAAGTGCGACGGGTGCAGGGAGGCCGGGCTCGGGTCCCGCTACCGGTGCTCGTTTGGCTCGTGCAACTTTGACCTCCACACGCACTGCGCCCTACCCTCGGCCTCCGTGGCCCACCCATTCTACCCCAAGTGCTCGTTTCAATTCATGGGCCGGCCCGTGGGCCCCACGGCCCGTTACTGCAACGCGTGCCAAAAGGGTGTCTCGGGTTTCGTGTACCACTGCCGCTCGTGCGGGTTTGATCTCCACCCGTGCTGCGCTAAGCTGCCGATGCTGCTCGATGACGGTGAAGTTAAGATGTACCTCTACAAGAAGAATAGCGCGCCATGCCACAGGCATTTTTATTATTATTTTTATTTTACTTTATTTTTTGATCTATTATTATGATCTTGCGGTTTAAATAATTTCAGATTTTTGAATGAATATCTGAAATTGAATTGTCTCGTTTTTGTTTTGAGATGTGATTGAATTATTTGGGAGGATAATGTTTGAGGAAAGTAAAATTTTTTGGAGGTATATATGTTGGGTTAATTGCAAATTAATTGTTTTTCAAAACATTTTTTTTTTCTATTTCAAGAAGAATAGCGATAGGCATTTGTCTCTCGAAACTGATTGGTCGGATCGGGTCGGGTCATCTACATTAATGTAAATGAAAAAATAAAATACAATGAAATTTATTGCGAAATAAAAACGTAAACTTGAAGCTTGGGTTATTATCAGGTGCGGCAGGAAAGGGAGAAGCTGGAGCTACAGATCGTCGTGCAAAAAGTACAACCTACACGTGGCGTGCGTGAAAGAGATGCTAGTTGACAGCTGGCACGAGCTCTACTACGGCGCATGGGCTGGGCCAGGCAGAAAACCCGGGACTGGGCTACCAAGTCTGAAATCCACCCTACTGGCCCATAATCACAAGAAAAGCAAAGGAAAGGCCCAAAAGTGCTGTCAGATGGCAGGCCTGGCGTTGCAGATCGTTATATCCGCCGTCTTAGGGGATCCAACCACCTTCATTGCTGGCCTTGTTGGTACATTGATGTCCAAATAGCCCAATTATAAGTGTTGGCCCATGTTCTGAATAAGATTAAAGGTAGGGGAAAATAACGGATTAATGTTTATTGGTTTAAGTAATTAATTAACTAACATGTGTGTGACATGCATGAATTTATCTCTTAGTTAACAAAATCCTATGATTGGGAAACTTACACTCAAACCATGTGGGCACTAACTATATCGAGTTTGAACCGTCCGATCAAAGCACACTGCACAAATATGTTTGTGATCGTCTGATAGTTTAGACTTAAATGTGGGCTCCACTAACAATGGTAAGTTCGAATTCTCCTATTCCTCAATTAATTTATGGTTCATAATTGATTAAATCACTCTTATATATTAATTCAAAACGTGCTGAACCTAAGTGGCAGGCTCGCTATCATACGTGTCAAAATATCATGGTTTGTACATTTAGTTCGGATAAATTTTTTTGGAAAAATTGGCTTGAAATCAACCATAAATATCTATTTCATCTTACATTATTGCCTCCCATAAATATTTCTTTCATTAATAAATGTATTGTCTCCCATACTTAAATCTCTCTTTCATTACTTTTTTCTTATTTAATTCATATATAATTGTTATAATATGTATTATTTTTATTTTTAAATCTTTATAATTTTTTTATTTGTATTTTATTTTTTGTATATTATATCGCAAAATAATCATATTTTGACGTTCGATTTGACATCCATATTGCATATATAAAATAAAAAAAAATTACATCTTCATTATAAATAAAATTAAATTTATTAAAAAATAATTTCAAAAATATAAATACGATATAAATTGTTTTATAATAAACATAATAACAATCTAATTCAATAATACACCATAAAGTAATCATTTTAATGCGCTTTTTCATAAATTTTAAATAAAATAAGAAAATTAAGTAAAAAAATACGGGCTCCATTTTGATTTAATTACTAATTTGTTAGTTATTCATTATTTTTATACATTCATTATACATAATTTTACAATAAAAAAATAAATTATTTTAATTTTTCTTTTGTACAAATATTAATATATTTAAGTACCCGTGTAGTACACGGGTATCGTACTAGTATGGTTTAATTTGAAAGATGCAATTAGTCTTTTTTATCAAAATTGAATGCCGTTAAAAAAAATTTGTTCCATTTCCATTTTGCGGTAATTAGACATAACACAATCAGATTTTTAGGGCAACTAGTATAATAATCACTAATTCATTAATAATGTAATAACTTACTGAATGGCCCTCGATGTTAGCTTATTGGTGTGAAATTAGCTAATTAAACCTCATTTAAAAGTTTGACAAATCAAATTAGCTATCTATCTTGTTTCGCAAAGGGTTCAATTGGTTGACTTTCTTAGCCCAAAGTGCTAATTTTGAAAAAACAAACTCAATATATGAACATTTTGAAAATAGATAATTCATATAATAACATGTTAACTTAACATTTTCAAAATAGTCATACATACATGTATTTACTAAACAATTATTTACAACATGCTAATACAATTCGTTGGTCAAATCAATAATTACACATCGCTAATAATTATTCATTATCCATGGTAGGTAATAGCCAAACAAGGTCATATGCACTGTTGTGAAACTACCCAAAATTGGGAAAAAAAAAAAAAATAGTTTTTTACTTTATATTTAGATATTGAATTAAAAAAAATATTTAGAATTAATAAATATTTTTCTTTATTTTCATTGCAAAAAATATATTTATTTTTTATTTTTTAAAAAAGCTCCCATAATTGCTTGCATCTCTGACTAAGATCCATGATTTCGTTTTCAGTTGGATTCGCTATCCGATTTTCAATGCGGGGTTAGTTAATTAACGTAGACTTTACCAAATTTTCCATAGATAAAATCCAAGTTAAATTTATGCATTGCAAATGGAGCTGGAAGAGAATTCTCCTGGCATAGTGCTAATAATGGATTAGATCAAAATGACTCAATTAAATTATAGTGTTTCTTCTATTAGTGAAGTTTCTAGAAAAAAAAAAATATATCAAACGGCGCAATGCACATTGGGTCGCTACGGAAACAGTCTCCTTGTATAATTATAAGGGTAATGTTTGCGTACAACTGACCCTCAAGATCCCAACCTGTTGGAAATATACTGAATATGTTGTTGTTGTTGTTGTATAAAATCCAAGTTAATGGTTCATAGTAATTTATAATCATGTAACATGAGTTCATCATTTATATTACAAATAAATTCTAAACTATCATATATATCTCGCTAAAGTGGTGTAATTTAACAGCTGCAATTTTTTGATATGGAATATCTTATACACAACTTTTTTGTGAATATATTGACATGCAATATCGTATGCACAATCATATTTTCGAACACCATGAAGTCGATCAAAAATCAAGAATGAAAATTGAGTATGATCTTCTCTAAAATGTAATTTTGTGGTCTTCCTCAACTATATCACTTTATAAGTTTATGTAGAAATAGAAAATTCACGTGCTATATATGCACTAAAAAAAATGATGAAATTATAATGGAGGTATATTCCAATAGAATTTCAATGACAATTCTAATGAATATTTCAATGCTATTATTTTCGTTGGAATAATTCCAACAGAAATTCCAACAAAAATATTTCGTTTGAATGAGTTTTCCATTGGAATTTCCATTGGATTTTGACGATTTCAACGGTAGATTGGTGGAAATAAAAATTCCAATAGAAATTCTTATAGTTAAAAGCCGTTGGTAATATAGTCGTTTGAATCATCAAATTACATCTGAAATTTCAATGAAAAATACATTCCAACGGAATATTTTCGTTGGAATCATTCCAGCAAAATCTATACCATTGGAATACCCATTGAAATTTCTATTAGAATATATTACCATATGATTTTCTGTTAGAATATAACAATTTTTTTGTAGTGACGAGACAATAACAAATAATATGATTTTTATATAATATTAAATTAAGACATTTACAATCAATTAATTATATGAATAACATCTCAGTTAGTACTCCGTAATCTTATAGCTTAAAATTGTTAGAATATCACTTGTAAGTTGTCCCACTTCGTTCATACATGAAAAATAGACCCACCTTATAAGTCTAATGGGCTCTCCACTTGGTTTTGGGATGGAACCCCACTTGGGCTTCATATGGGCTCTCCTCGCTTTTGGTGCGCTTCATGTTAGTGTGTCCACACCAGTTTTCACCCATTTTCTTTCAAAAATAATTGAACAAACATAATTACATAATTATTTTTTGCTCATAAATAGTTATATCCCCTCTTAGTATAATTTAAAAACGTGTTGAGCCTAAATGGCTGCCTCGCACGCTTCGGAAGCTTATTTGGCAACATTACATGTTTCGGCTTTTGGTTCGGATACATTCCCTAATTGTTTAAAATAAAATACTTAATTTCTTATCTTATTTACATCTTATGATTCTTATCTTATATATCGTGTAAACCAAAATAAAAAAAAATAGCTTTAATAACCTTTTTATATAGTTTAAATTAAAAAAAAATACTATAATTTTACAAAAAATATATAGCCACTTGCATATTAGGATTCTTATCTTATATGTCGTGTAAACCAAAATAAAAAATTTAGCTTTACATATTATTTTATTTATATAATTAATGTAAACAATAACTTTCTTATATAGTTTAAATTAAAAAATACTATAATTTTACAAAAAATTTATAGCCACTTGCATATTATATATTTTCAATCCAACCATGATAAATAATTATTTAAATATTTTTATAATATCTATAAAAATACATTGAAATAGTTATAGAATATTACATGATCTTTCTAATATATTTTAAAGAGTTGAAATAAAAATAAAATAAATTTTGATTAACACCATGGTAAATAAATTATTTAAATCTTTTTAGAATATCTATACAAATACATTGAAATAGTTCATGTGTTTTTTCTATTATTTTATGTTTTATATATTTTTTTTCAAACAATCCGTGTAGTACACGGGTGTCGTACTAGTATGATTTAAATTCAAGATTTCTTACACAAGCACGCAAATGGCGTTTGGTCAAAGATTATATATTTTTTATATTTATATGATGAAAAATTGCTTGGTCAGAGATAGTTGATATGGAAACGGATTATACATACAAATGTATTAAAGATATAGCATTGTTTTAATTAATGATGGATAAGGACATCAAGAAACTCTATTTTCTATTTGGACCATAACATTTCAGTGTTCTAAATCAATGAAAGGTATGTAAAAAATTTAGTGGCCTGCAAAATACATGTGTACTTGCTACAATCCATCATCAATAATATTTAATCTATATTGCATATATAGGCTTACTTACACATCAACCTAATTAAACATTTATATATAGTTCTTGTTAATGGCGGATGCAGATGATTACATAATGGGGGCACTATATAATTAACGCTGCGTCATCGCCTCGCTTGCAGGTTTGATGTATCTTTTTCTTTTTCTTTTTTTTTAAATATATGTATACATATATTGACGGAATGGGCCTGAGGCCACTAAATATATATATGTATATCTTTTTTCTTTATTGTATGTATTTATTGACCGATTGACGCTGTTGGCTGCTGTTAAATATATATGTGCATCTTTTTCTATTTTTATTTTTTGGTATTATTAATAGGCCTCTTAATATTTTTGTTTTCTTTTAATAATTAAGTTTATTATTTTGGGTTGCTAGTCGTAAGTTGAATTGTTTTCTGTTTGGCTGGGGGCATAATTTTGGGCCTAGAGGAATTTTACTCTTTTGGACTACCTAACTAATATACTAATATAGGTTGGAGACACAATTTTGTTGGGACCTGTGACCCCACTTCTTACAATGTGGATCCGCCACAGATTCTTGTATACTTCCAAGTTCGATATTTGACCAGAGTATATTACTTACTAATAAAGTTTTGAGACGTATTTATGGCTATAATATTTTTTAAATAAATATGTATACTTTTAAATTGAAATTTATATTTTAAAAATTAACACGATAAAAATATATAACTTGTTCACAATATAAAAAACATTCAATAATAAGTCTCTTATAACTAATGTACTTATTTACTGAACAATATCATTGTTATCGTTTTTCATTTACTTTTAATTACACGTGAATAAATATTTTCATATTCTACCACCGGTAATATAAAGAATTAGGGAAAAATTTAGATAATAGTTCTTCTTATCAACCACATGAACACTAAGTCAGCGTATCTGAAAAAGAAAGAAATCAAATGAAATAATCAAATTAGATTATCTTTTGCTAGGTTCAACCAATTTTATTATTCTTATTTCTTCTGTCACCTAACATATTTGAAACCTGGCCTTCAAAGAATAAAAAAGTGTACGTGAAAGAAAAAAAATCCAAACCCTCAATTTGAATTTTAGCCGTTTGATTTATATGTACATGACTGTCTCTAACCTGTAGGGCTGTGTACAATCTAACGACTAAACTCCCCCATGAAGATAAGGTTGAATTAATTTGCGGTAATAAATAAAATAATCAGTCAATTTATCCAACACAAATTAACAAATATTTAACAAAATTCTCCAAACTGATGATAAAAAGTCATATTTACATAATTGCAACATACCACCCAACTTGGACCCAAGAAAACAAATTGTACGCCCCGAAAACGACGTCGCAGATGTAACCCTTTTGAAAAATGTTCCCATGCACACAATTAATCCCCATAAAGTTATTAGAATCATATCAAACATCATATTATATATATACACACATTATATCAAAATATTACGAGCATATATATATAAACATATTATAACCAAGGAGAGATGGGAAATTGTGGGTCTAGCAAATATGTAAATCGGCCAAATTTCACGGCCAAATTGATTCTCCTAAACGGGAAGCTTCTAGAATTCGAGCACCCGGTCAAGGCATCTCTGCTGACGTGGCAGAACCCTAGCTTCTTCATATGCAGCTCTGAAGGGATGGAGTTCGGCCAGCTGGCGGCTGAGGTGGGCGGTGATGAAGTCCTCCGGCTGGGTGAGGTGTACTTCGAGCTTCCGGTCGAGTGGCGGAGCCACAAGATGCAGGCGGAAGACATTGCTGAGCTGGCGGCAAAGGCCAGCTTGGCGCTTTCGGGTGGCGGTGAGTATGATGACGAGGCTATGATAAGGTGCGGTTGTTGTTCGCCGAGAAGTAGAGTCGAGCCGTTGGTGCCGGTTTTTAAGGAGGAGACGGTGCCTCCGCCTGACGAGGGCGGAGGGAAGAGAAGAGGTGGCCGGTGCAAGCGCCGGCGAAAGTTTGAGGTGGAATTAAGCTCGATAACCGAGGAGTAAACAAATTTAGTAGAAATCTCTCCTCTCTCATTCTTTTTTGGAAAAATTAATTTGATCTTATCGGTTGGCATACATACATATATACATATATATATATATATGTATAGTATTGATCCAACAATGAAAAATCTGGTGGAATTAAGCTCGATAATCGAGGAGTAAACAAATTTAGTTGAAATCTCTCCTCTCTTCTCTCTCTTTCTCTATCTGGGAGAATTCGATAATACTGGTTAGGGCAGTGTCTCAATGATTTTTTCTTTTCGTTAGATATATATATATATGTGTGTGTGTAATGAGTGTGTGTTAATCCAACATTAAAAAATCTGGTGAGTGCAATTAGATTGAATTTTTAGTATCTTTGAGTGTGTTATCCTTTTTTGGCTTTTGCTTTTAAGTTAAGCAAAAGTTTAAATTATAACTATGTATGATTTTTGGACATGGGTAACATGAATGAAATTGTATGTAATTTATTGGCTATTGTAGGAAATTATATTATAATCTTATATGTTTTTCTATATCTCCATAAATCTAGGAATTTTTGGTTGGATTGTATTATTCGGTCTACATACTGGAACTGATAACATTCAAGATTATATGTAGGAATTTTTGTTTGCACTGTATTATTCAATCCACTTACTGGAACTAATAACATTCAAGATTATGCAGGAAAGATCTCTTTAGCCCTATGTCTCTTATTGGATTGAATTTTTAATCACTTTGAGTGTGTCATCCTTTTTGCTTTTGTTTTAAGTTAAGCAAAAGTTTAAATTATAACTATGTATGATATTTTGACATGGGTAACATGATTGTAATTGCATGTAATTTATTGGCTACGGTAGGAAATTGTATTATAATTATAGTATTAAATATTTTATCCTTTGCATGGATGATTTTATGT